CTTTGACAACAAGCGGTGCACCACTAGCCTCACTGAATCCCGGCGGCCAAAGCAGTAGATCTGTAATGCTCAAATCCGCACTGATCTTCGAAAGTGTGTCGTTATTCACCAGCGCCGACTTAGCACGTGATAACTGGCCTTCCTGGTGTCGTGGCAGCATCTGATACACGTATCCCGCCGCTGCAGCACCCAGCAGCGAGTCTCCTAGAAATTCCAGACTGCGGTTCGACAGTCGCACCACCGGCACGTCTTCTGGTACCGGATTGAGAGGCAAGCATCCATGATGAGTCAGCGCACTCTTCAGTAGTGTCATATCCTGGAATTTGACGCCAATGCGCTCCTGTAGCTTCTCGAGTCCAGCTTTCCAGCCTTTCGGGGTTGGAACTCTTTCGAAGTGTTCCGGTTTGATCAACTGCCAGTCCGGGGTGTTCTTCGGGTACATCAACTGCTGGACTGTGACGTTCTGGTTGGTGATAACGTCTCCTTCCAAGTGGCGGCGCTCTAGCTTTGGTGGTTGGTTGGGATCAGCTGGCGTTTGGCTTTTGCGCCGATTAGCATCGCTTCTAGCATCGTTCTCGGCCGCTAGAGCGGCTGCAACAGCATCGGCAACTGCCTGTGGGCTTCGGAATCCATCTGGAAGAGAACTACGAGAAGAAAACGCTCTTACGTTGCCACAAACAGCCAGAACACGATGGCACTCAATGGTCAACACCTTGCGCGTGTTTGCCATACTTGACACGCTAATGTTTCATGTGGTAAACGTAAGGACCTGGATAACTACATATTTCCTCTAAAATTCGATATTTGAATTGTGAAACATTTCGATTCGAAATTATTGTGAGACTGAATAGAGGCACTGAGTGAGATCGTAATTACAGGGAGGGATACGGTACATATCCAAGATATTACCGTGGATATATTATTTCCACGGTAATATTATTACGAACGTCATCGACATTTCAAAAATATAAAACGCAACACCCCCTCTCCCCTTTTCTCCCATCCTCAAACTAATCTGAGCCGCTCATTCAAAGTTTCGTGCATGTTGACCTCAAGTGCTCGGTGTTCTGCCAGCTCGTCCGTTCTTCGACGTGCGGTGGCTAATGGGGGTATTGGTTCGTCCTGGTAAATGTTGCTAACATGCTAATGTGCAGGACAATGAGTGAGAGTAAACCGGAGGTGCACGTTCCGTCGACAGGCATGTGGGAATATTCGCCGATTGCCAAAGAATGTCACGAAAGTTGGGAGGCCTTCAAGGAGTATCTAGTAGTGTGCCAGGAGGATACGCATCAGCTTTTTCGTCTTCGAAGCTCGACGTCGGTAGCACGCTGTAATGCTGAAATCCAGGGCCAAGCTAGGGCCGGTGCCAACGGTGGGGGGACGTCGGGTTCGCTTATCCCGAAAGAGTTCACGGCATTTTAAGCAAAGTACATCGGTACCCATGGCTGGTACCGAAAAGGCCGCAGTACTGGGCAGCGCAAGAGCTACTTTGGCAAGTCGATGGAGTGTAAAGCTGGCATCAAGGCCGCCGTGACGTGGAACAAAGAAGAACGGAAGTTTATGGTCCGTGTTACAGGATCCAGCACAAGCCATAACCATCGCATCGATCGAACTGTTTACGAGAATCATCCGTCAGCGCGTCGTGTTGAGGACCCTATACTCTTCGCATTTGTCGATGTGATGCAGTCCTCCGGCTCAAACCCCTAGCGCATCATGCAATTTCTTCGCGAAAGGACAGGTAAAACCCCATGTTTCACAGCTGTGATTGCTACTTATTTTGACATCGAATGTAAACTGAATTATAGGACAATATGTGACTCTTCGTGATGTTCACAATATGGTTGCAAGAATGAGAGAAGAGCGCCAGGGTAGTGATACTGTCGAACAACGTCTTGAGACTCTTCTACGAGGATTTTGCGGGCGGCGAGGAAACCGAGCTTCTGTGTTTGTTGTTGACAAGTCCCTGGCGCAAGCAATCACGCTGCAGGCGCGCCAAATGCGGAGATGGTTCAAAGCTTTTTCCCGAGGTACTCCTCGTGGATGCGACGCACAACACAAACGACTCGAGGTACAAGCTCTTCTCGTTTATGGTACATGACGTGTACGGACATGTAAGTACTGATACCTTT